TAAACATATTTTATTACAGACATTTTCTCCAAGAGCATAGCTCATCGAGGGAGATTATGTCGGATTATTTACAAACTTTAGGTTGTTCACATCAAGACAAAGAGGATTACATAAAAAAAAAGATTACATCAAAACAAATCGAATAATCATAGTGTGGAAGAACTTCTGGTATTCATTCTCAAGCTTTCCATGAAACATATTATTATAAGAAATTTATATGGAAGAATTTACCACACCAATGTTTTACAGACCAATGTTTTACAAAACAAGTTTCAATAAAAAAAAAAAAGAAAAAAAAGTTACTCGGCCTGAAACCGTTTTGTATTTAAAATAAATAATTGGACATTTTGCATTAATTTTACATTATCTTCATGTCCAAGATTTTCCGACCCATGCAAAAGTATTTCAATTTTCCGATTCTCTGATAAATTTATCCACATAGGATGGAGCAGCCGCGCAGGAAGTGAGAGCAATTGTTCACGTTGGGCAGCAAATCGGGAACAGTATAAAAAGTAATGTTTGACAGTTTCCATTTCACCCCATCGACATACACAAAAAGGGGAATTTGCACTATTAATTCTATATAGGTGAAAATTAAGCGCACAGTGACCAAGCCTGAGCCTGGTATGGAGTATTGAGCTATATCTACTTAGTGATGCATTGTATTTTACGTTATATTTTTGTCCACAATACATATTACATAAGGTAACTTTAAAGGAAGATAGTGTCTCTATATTTCGTAAATCTGGATCAAGAACGTAAATCTGGAATCAATGTTCCCACCTGCATTATTCAATAATGGCAAATAGTCGTTTTAATTTTGTTTAGCATATTCATATTCATATTCCAAATATATTCCTATATTCCTATATCTTAATATTCACATTCCACTCAATATTCATGTCCTACCACATAAAGCTGTCGACTGGAATGGATTCAGCTGTACATGCATGCGCTCGCGCACTCAACGTTGTCATATAAACATAAACCCATGTTTATATATAGGTAAACAGAGATATATGTATAGTCAATAGTAGACTGAAGTATTGGATTGAAGCTGCCATTTTATGACCCGAAACGTTATATATAAATATATACCACATTTGCAGGTGTTTGCAATAGGAACAAAGTCATCCTTGTCAAACGGCCACCGAAGAGCCAATCACATTGCAGGAAAACGCGCAATGTAGTCGCCACTTGAAGAGATCGCGTTTGCATCTGTAAATATTTATCAATATTAAAATCCTCTCAATATAATAAAACTGCATTCTGTAATTCCTAGCTGCCTTCAAATTAAAGCGTCTGTCTGTCTTACATGAAATGGCTGTCTTATTAAGTATTTGTGCGTTAATTTTCATCTCAGAAATACCACAACCAGGCGTGTGCTCAAAGCAAGCAATGTTTCACAGAAATGTACAAAAATACTTGACAAATCATGTCATCGAAACAAAACAGGCAGAGAGCGAGCTAGAATGTGGCGTGTATTGCGTTAGACATGGATCATGTGCGTCAGTCAATTACAAAACTTCTGGAATTGATAAAGGTCGGTGTGAGCTCAACAATAAAACAATTCAAGAGACATCCGATGCTGATGAGAAAACACATAACCCAGAATTCAACCATATTGCTATAATTAAACAAGTAAGTAAAGTTATTAGGATGTTAGGGTTTGTAATCCAAGTGAGAATATATACATTTTAAGACCTAACCGGGAACGACTGCGAAAAATGCAGCACAAGGTCCTCTGGTAGGAATTGAACCTACGCGGCCCTGCGATTCCGGTGCAGCGCTCTAACCAACTGAGCTACAGAGGCCAGCTGTTGAGCTGTAACCGTAAGTTCATGTATATATAGGTAATCGGGTGTGCGGGTTGTGATAAGGTGAACTTGAATGACTTAGATTCTTGCACTTCATTTGGTGGAATTAATATTAGAATGTTAGGGTTTGTAATCCAAGAGAGAATATATACATTTTAAGACCTAACCAGGAACGACTGCGAAAAATGCAGCACAAGGTCCTCTGGTATAGGAATTGAACCTACGGCCCTGCGATTCCGGTGCAGCGCTCTAACCAACTGAGCTACAGAGGCCAGCTGTTGAGCTGCTTAGGCCTTAAAATGTATATATTCTCACTTGGATTACAAACCCTAACATCCTAATATTAATTCCACCAGGTGAAGTGCAAGAATCTAAGTCATTTTAAGTAAAGTTATCCACTTCATTTTTCACAGTTGCTATATAATAGTTTTGTTTGTGGAAACACCACGTAAATTTATATTACTGCACTAATAAATTTACGTGGTGTTTCCACAAACAAAACTATTATATGTTTTATCGCCATGCGAACATACAAAGAATTTATAGTTGCTATATAGCATTACAATACTCAATAGGGTTGATGGCAACAAAAAAAGATACTGCTGAAGATGAATCAAAATAGATTCGAAATATGCAGGGTTTTTTAAATAGATGTGTTGTTATAATGCATACATTTTTCGGAATAACATTAGTTTTATATATGCTGAAACTATATCAGCAGGTGAATTAAGGATACTATAATGCCTTAACTTTCACATTGAGGGAATTTTCAGAATTTCATACATGATAAAATAGCTATCACATCTATACTCATTTTAATCCAGTGATATTTGACTGATCAAAATAAGGTGGAAACACCAATATTCCAACATATTATTAGGTCAAAAGCGTTTTATAGTATGCTTGCATTACTCTAAATGTAATGATATCTGGGGCAGGTTGTATGAAAAAGTGATTAAAGTTAACTATGGTTAAGTGCAAACGTCATCCAATAAGAAGCGCCTATTTGAAAAAAAAAGTAATCACGAGTTTTATACAACCGGGTCCTGCATGGGGCCGGTTGTACGAAGGTCAGATGGCGCTATCCAGTGGTGTAGTGACTTTTTCAACCTTTGTAAAATGCTTGAAAAACTGTGAAACTACGGATATAGAGGACACAAGAAGTATAAAAAAACATTTAACTTATAAATAGTAAACTTTAATACGAGTTATACCATTCAACGACTGATTTAACAAAGTTTTAAAAAATCACTATCCCGTGGATAGTGCCATCCAGCCTTCGTATACAACCGGCTCCTGATCCCTACCCTAACATTGCAAGCGAGTTCGTTTAGTGTAAAAATTAGTGATAGTCCGCTCTGACGCTCTGGCAGAGCAATAAAAATATCCTAAATTCGCTATTTCGACAAAGAAAAATAGGTATTTATAATTACTCTGTATGGCCTATACTTACTACACAGATTTGCCATTGATACACTATATGTAAAACGAGTACCGATATAACTAAAACGAAGATATAAGGATCGCTTTCAATATAGGTTCTCTTTGCAGAATGTTGCAACAAAACGATATATATTTAATCGAAATTCATGCAACGGTCCTCATTTAATTAACGAACATTTTTAGGTGTGGCATAAATAAACGAGTATACTCGTAAATAAAGCTGTTTAAGGATAACATATATACAACCTGTAATATTATGTACCTGGTGCGTAACACTAAACGTGATTTGCTGATTACTGGTCACGTACGTGGCTTTTGATGAATGCAATATTTTCCACCGGGACACAAGTAAAAAATTGTTGCCCTCTCTGACAGGCTACTATATACGTAAACAAATGAGTGGAACCGAGATAACTTTTTACAGTTGACAAAAAGAATACATGCAGATAGGCTTCGGTGGCGCCACCTTAAGTATCTCTATAGAAGCCGAATGTTTAAGTCTTTTGGTGGGATAAATACTACGATTAATATAATATGATTGTTTTTTAACCCAATGCAAAAATATTGAACCTTTGATTTATTATAGCGAAGTAATACCACCAAATATGACAGGGGACATTTTTTTGGGACACCCTGTATAGGCGACAGGAAATTTTGCCCAAGCTTTTTTACAAGGTTCTTGTAAGTGTGATATTGTACATATTATTAAAGGATTTTCATTCATTAAATGAAAATGTTGTGTGAATTTTGTTTACTTTTTCTGGCTTGCTATATATAAAACAAAACACTTAATGTCTGTTTTCTCGGAACATAGACCACTTGCAGTACATATAGTCACTACAGTATATGTATAGTTCGGGTCTATACGTGTGTAGCAAGTTTTGTTTTCCTTCGAGCTCAATGTTTCTCTCGACTTAGTTTTAGGAAACATCTGTTTATGAGGGCGAGTTACCCACAGGGCCGCCGAGAGGGGGGCCAAGGGGGCACTTTGCCCCTGCCCCCAGCTCCCCAATTAACAAGGCAATTTCTCGATTTGAATTCGTTCCACAAGCATGAGCATGCATGGTCAGCGTGAATATATAGCTATAGGGAATCAGTATCCTTTAAGCAGACTACAATTTTTGTTCTTAATTTCCAGAAACACCCAGAACCACTTTCAAGAAGCGCTCCGCCTCAGGCAACACAAAAATCATCATCAAGTAAGGTTTAAAATCATATATATTAACCCATTATAACTACACGACTAATCAGGATTGACCTCATGTACACAAGTAAAAAATTGATTGTATGGTTGGAAAAGGTTCAGAGTAATTGCGAACATCTATTCCGCAATCTACGCTATTTTTACCGAAATTATCCTCGCACTGGCCCCACAATTAAAGCCAGCGAAAATTAAAGATGATACTTGACAATAATGCTTTGATTGACGTGAACTCTCATTATCATAAAAAAATATATTTGTATTTAACTTCCTCATAATGTGCTAACCTTTATATAGCAAAATCCAAAAGGTTTAACAACTCAGTCAATAGGGTGATAGAATATATTAATGTTTGCAGTGAACTTTCGTAATGCGAACTTCTTCTTTATGGCAGAAGGTTTAACAAGTCATCCAACAAGTAAGTTCACACGGATCACGGTAACTATAGGGTAAAAATTATTTCAGTGATAATAAATAATGCGAATGGACCTATTCCCTAATGGACAAAAGTTTGATCTAGACAAGTCTAGACAACAATTTCATCACAGCTTGAAAGAGCATCACAAAATTAGTAATATTCCGAAGTTTCGTCGCGAAATGTTGTAAAATGCGGATAATATAGCCCTGCGAAGTTTGCCGTTTTTCAGTCATTTTGTATTACGCACGGGAAATTAATACCGCTTTCTGAAAAAAGGTATCAATTTCCCGTTTATTTGTAATGCAAAATTACTGAAAAACGGCAAATTTCGCAAGGCTATATTATCCGCATTTTACAACATTTCGCAACGAGACTTCGGAATATTACTAATTTTGTGATGCTCTTTCAAGATGTGATAAAATATTTGTCCAGACTTGTCTAGATCAAAATTTTGTTCATTAGGGAATAGGTCCATTGTCTACTTCCGTACGATTTTTAGATGAATCACAGTCTCTTATAGAGTCACAAGCGAAGAAGTGGAGCACACGACTATAATTTTCAAATTAAGATCATCCTGTTTTTATAATTGACCACAATACTAAATAAAACAAAAAAAATAATAATCTATATACCATGTTATAAAATTGAAAATTTATTTCCTAGGCTAATAGTTAAGAGAATTTCATTTTATAGCAAATCAAGAACTGTTATCATCTTGTAAGGAACTACTGCAAAGAAACAGGTTTGTGAGTCACCACAACGTTGAAGGATTTTGTAGGCTAGATAAAAATTTCGAGTGTAAATTTTATACATCTAGTCGGACCTAACCAGGAGCAACTGCAGCAAATAAAACTATATGGGTCCGCTAGCAGAAATCGAATCTGCAGCTCTGCGATACCGGTGCAGCACTCTAACCAACTGAGCTGTAGAGTCCAGTATACCATTACTGTGTGTCATATCGAAAAACGAAAAAAAAGGGATACGGCAATATATATTTTCATTATTTCATTAGAACTTTTAAAATTATATGTTAATCTCCTTTACAGATTTTGCGTAACTTTATTATTTCTTGAAATATTTTGACTTAAAATAATTTGCTGTCCGCCATCTTGGATTAATTTTTTATCTCATTATCGGTGATTTTACTGACGTCATAAGCAAAGTTAGCCATATAAAACTGCATATAAATGACCAAATAACATTAAGTCTTGTTTGAAAAGTCGTCAGACAGTTTTTTATTTCAAATAGTTACTGAAGTATATGATTTTCGGCTCACAATAACCAATTGCTCTATGGATAAAATTCTTGCGTGACCCTGCTTATGATGTCATATGCATGTCATAATTATTTTTTTCTCAAATGTAAATAGTCGTAATCCTTAATACTTTTTATGCCTGTAAATATCAAAATAGTGCGAGGGCCGTATGTTAGATAACTTTTACGGTTAATACGTTTTCCCTCGTGAAATAAAGTTTCTATTCTATTCTGTTCTATTCTATTCTATTCTATGCATATCCGCCAAAATCCAAGATGGCGGAAAGCTCGCTGATTTGTGAATTTTTCTGTTCAAATATCTCAAGAAATAATAAAGTTACGCAAAATCGGTAAAAGAGATTAGCATATAATTTTAAAAGTTCTTCCAAATGAAATAATAAAAAAATATATTGCCGTACCCCTTTAATAATGAAAAGCATTCGATTTGAAATGTTGTGGTATGGTTGATGTCTCGACATTCTAAAGGGACTTTGAGAGCTAGAGCAGTTCAAATGAAACTGATATGCATGGAATCGAACTATTCGACATAATGAAGTTAGTTTAATCAAATTGTACTTTATAATGTCTTATGTCTTTATAAATATAATATCTTCTATATACCACAAGCAAGCAAGTAAAGAATAGAATCAGAAATTTTTCGTAGCTTATTGGAAATGTGGTGCAAATACCTTATTCAAAAACTTCGGACCAAGTTGGGGTTTACACGCGATGTTACAATATGGTCTTGCTAATATTCACAAAACTTCGTACTATTTATAGGTCACTCAGCAATGGTGTTTACCAACTACGAAATAATGATTCACTCCAACATTATAAAGTTTACTGCCACATGACTGAATTATCTGGATGTGGCCAAGCAGGTTGGACACTAGTGATGAAAGTAGATGGGAGCAAGGTACGAATAATCTTAGCCTAACATAATCTCTTCGAATGCATATAAACATGCATGACAAGCAATAATATACAGGGTGTATAAAAAAACTGAACAGATTTGAAATTGCTCTTAATTTCGCAAACAGCTACTAGTATCCAGTTTTTGATGTATATAGCTTCTTTGGGTTCTTATAATGTAGGAAAATGAAAAAAATTTCTCGAACTCAAATTTTGTGAACCAGGGGGGTGTCTTTTCCAACAAACTAAAAATGGCTTGCGCACGAAATGTAGAAGCTTTCATCGTATTTTAAGTTAATAGGTGGAAAATTCGTTGGGTTTTTAATTACTGTACAAAATTTCAGACAATTCTCTTTAGTTTAACCCCTTTAACGATTCACGCAAACTCGCATATTCTCTTAAAAAATCAGCTATTTGCATGCTAATTAATGCCTTTGCTTAATTTGCATATGTCAGCAATATGCAAATTAGGTAAAGGCATTAATTAAGCATGCGAAAGGCGGATTTTTTAGGAAAAAATGAATAGTTAAAGGGGCTTAAACTAAAGCAAATTGTCTGAAAATTTGTACAGTAATTAAAAACCCAACACGTTTTCCATCTATCAACTCAAAATTCGATTAAAGCTTTTAAATTTCGTACGAAAGCCATTTTTAGTTTGTTGGAAAAGATACACCCCCTGGTTTACAAAATTTGAGTTCGAGAATTGTTTTATTATTCTACATTATAACTGTCCAAAGAAACTATATATATATCAAAAACTGGATACTAATAGCTGTTTTGCGAAATTGAGAGCAATTTCAAATCTGTTCAGTTTTTTTTTATACACCCTGTATAGAGAAATGAGTACACTTTTTGCTTTACAGAATGACTTCAACTACAGCTCTCCTTACTGGACAAACAAGGAAACCTACGCAATTGAAGATGGGCTTCAAGGTTTGAATGAAAAACAAACAAAACTCGCTTCTTACTGGAACACGCCGTTTAACAAAATATGTCTCGGAATGAAAGTCAATGGTGCTACAAAATGGATAGCGTCAAACTACACCACCATCTCGTTACATAGTGTGATCGAAGACGGGACATTTAAAAGAACAACCATTGGAAAGGAAGCATGGAAATCTCTTATCAATGGTTCGTCATTGCAAAAAAACTGTAATCAAGAAGGTTTCAATATGGTCACCAAAAATAAGTTCAAACGTTATGCATTTGCTTATACCAATGTACGGATTGGATTAGTGGCAAATAATCAAAACGACTGCGAGAGTTGTAATTCGTGTATTGGCTTTGGTACTTCGGTACTTGGATGTGATGGCGATGTGAGAAATACATCTTGCGGTAATATAATGACTTTTTACTGTATTAATCCAGAAAATAATGACACTGCAGCGTTTGGATACATACTTGTACAGTAGCATTGCAATAATACTCGGGACCAACTCAGATATATACCATGTATACATCAAAGTTTAAAGTTAGAGACTTGTTTGCTTTGACTATTGTATTTATTGTCTGTTTTGAGAAAAGAATTCCAGACAAAAATGGATTTATTAGAACATGCATCCATAATTATGTAATGGTGAAACATAATTGGAAATGGCTATGGCAATTTTTCATAGAAACTGTTAGCATTGAAGAAAATGAAGGTTGATTTATTATATATCGTTATTTCTAACGTAGTTTTAACTTGTACATGCTCTTAATTTGTGAAATAGATTTTCCAAAATGGTGTATAAGTGCATTTGTGAAGTTTAATGAAAAACGTCTATTGCCTCATATTCTATATATCTTAGAAATCAGAAGTTGCATATGTATGGATTGTAATGGATTGTCATCGACCACCATGTAAGCTCGCTTTTTAATGTGATCGCAAGCGGGGTCTCCACTACAACAACCGCTGGAAGGAGTAGTTAGAAATCGCTCATCGCAGGCTCGTCTTACAATCCAACTGCAACGATGAAGGGTCAGTTTAATGTGAAATATCAAACTAGCCATGTCTGCATGCATGCTAGGATTGCGTTAGGTCGCACACTAATCAAAACAATTGCAATATACATGTGATTCGCGGTATATCGGATTTGCGGTTTCTTTTTATGCTTGTTATATGGGCAGTCTCCAATAACATGTGGAAATTTTTCCGTTTGTCACAAAACATCTCATTACAATAAGGACACCTTACAGCATTTGGATCTATACTCGTGCAGCATGCAGTAATGTACAAGTATAAGTACAGACGATTTCATTATATTCTGACCCTGGTAATGGCACAAGTATATAATAAACAGGTTATCATAAATGTCACGAGTGAGCATACACATACAGTACATATCTGCATATATATAAAAATTTTAATTTAATCCAAATCTAATGTCTATAAGAGTCTGAACGGTATGTTTAATTTGCAGGTAAGCAGATTAATTTTTGGACAATTTTTACTTGCGGCTGAGTTCATCACCAGACAGCACACAAAGTTTACATAAGATATATTTGCAGGCAAGAGAACACTTTGTAACCAGAGAACTTCGTTAACGATGTTATACTTTTTCGCTAGATGGGTAATACTTTCACTTTACATCGTTCGGTTAAAACTGGTATACAGCTCTGAAGAAGTTTTATTTGATAGACATGCGGACAGCTATTTAGACGGTTTTGTTATTAGAGCAAAGCGTACAAATACTGAAGTTGAATGTGGAAGTTACTGCATGAGCGAGCCATCGTGTGTGTCTGCGAATTTCATGGTTCAAGGAGTAAACAGGGGTCTGTGTGAGCTCAATAGCGAATTATTGGAAGACTTTCCTCAGAAGAAAATTCAAAATACTGATTTTGTCTATCTTGCAATTCTTGAGAAGGTAAGAATATTATAATTATTTAGAAACTATTCCGAAAAAAGTGTGCACTATTGTACAATTGTTTTATTACAAAGCGTATATTTCGAACCTATACATGACTCAACGTCAGCAGGAAAAGATGGATTCAAAATACATAATTTCAACAAAAATTGTACATAATAAATCAACACTTTATTCAGAATTTTATTTTATATTTTTTATTTTTTATTTTATCTAGTATTTATGTGTTTGCATGCTGTATTTGAAATAAAACTTTCGAGCAATAGAATTTCATTTGGTTTTTTAACGCACACAATTCCGAAAACGATTGAACAAATTTAGATTAATTTTTGGACTGCATGCAAAAGTAATTAATTCATGCACTGCAGACAACCCTTTGAAGCAGAAAATATAGAACGTTCAAATGATTGTGTAAAATAATTATTTATAGTCGTGGCTATTAAAAATGGGTTATACACTATGTGTCGTACATTCCTTTTGAAAACCTTCTTAAAGCGCTCTCGTTGTCTCCAACTTAACAGCTACAGCATTTAGAATTTTAAGTAATTAAAAGGAATTAATTCAATAAAAATTTGATGAAAAATCCATCCGCAATACAATATAATCATGCAAGCTGCATAAACAGCGAAACATCGCGGAAAGGCAAAGTTTGTGGACTCTACAATAAAATGATCGCGAGTTCTTTATGAAGGATTAGCCCAGTCCCATGCATATCGTATTTACAAATATGTCGAAAAATATCATATTTACTGGATGACGAATGTCAATCAGTGATAACGATCAACTGCATGTGCATGATAAGATTTACCTAGTATGTTAATATAGAAAAACAGCTGTTTTGTTATCTTTGTTAACAGTGTGCATGTCAAGGACATTTCTGGGGTAGGTATTTTTCGAGTTAAGCCCTTCGAGTTAAGCCCTTTTCGAGTTAAGTCCCTGCCACGCCCTTTTTCGCCGGGGGCTTAACTCGAAGTCAATTAACGATTTAAGCATTCGAGTTAAGCCCCGACATTTGGTGGATGTAAACAAGTGATGCGTGTATACTCGCAAAAATATTGGCAAATATATGTAAGGAGGGAGAATGTAAAATTTCAGCAATTTTAAGAAATATATTTTAGTTAGTTCTCTGTTGCTTTGCCTACAGTTTTATACAGAAAATGACATCGTGAAACGAGGGAGTTCAATAAGGATTTGTAAACAACAGCTTATCCAAGGCGGCAATTACAGCTTTAACAACTAAATAATATATAGCGGCATTTACAGAACGCAAATCTTAGGCATGTTCATATGGAAGTGAGCTACCTTTCTAAGATCTAGACAAGATCTAGGACTAAAATATTATCTAAACTCGTTTTATAGTTTTCCGGTGACTATTTACATGACACAAGCGAGTAACTCATCTTGCCATGCAAGAACCCGTCAGAGAGAGAACAGGCAGGAATAAATTCAAACTATTACAAGTGGTAACATGCAGATACAAATATTTCCACTAATTACCAACGGCAAATAATAACCGAACCACAACAACGGTAAATCAATCAGAATGATCAAGAATGAAGTTCTAGCTAGTAAAACCATTTTCTAAAAAAAAATTCAGTATGATGTCACGCTGTAGTATTCATGTCCCCTACTTCGGAGAAGAGATATATCTTATTCGAGTAGGCCCGCATGTGCTTGTCCTAGTATAGCTATACGAGAAGCAAGATTTTCAGATGAATTGCGTATTTATCATTAATAAAAAGACTGAACCTTGAGAACCTTATATTCTCTCAAATTCTCGATATCCCATGTTATAATTAAAAGTCAGCACAGAATGGTCTTATTGCACATTTAATCGTATGGGAAAAGGCCCGCATCAAGACATTGTCCCGGCAGTTGTAATTTCTTTAAAAAGCCCTGAGTGACTTTCATTAATCTGACACACACATGCACTGACACACATGGATTAATGGAAGCACTTTTCTATACCACCGTCCATAAAAACTGAATCTTCAATTGAGTTTTGAGATTTATAGTTTTCACAATAATTATACTTTGACGAAATTGTGGCAAATGTGAATAGTTAATTGTAGAAAGAATGCATGAAAAAAGTAGTTGATCCTTTTATATTTTTCCGTGAACAAGTCTTTGAAAACCTATTTTAAAACGGTTATAATTTCTCAAAAGTGCTGTCTAAACGCGGAAAATGGAATTTCACAAAGACAAAATCAAGAATTTTCCGTGGTAGGGTGTGGGTGGTGTTGGTTGGTGGAAGTGGGGGGAGTACTCTCCCACTAAAATTCAATCTTCTTCCGAAAAAACGGTAGCAGACTAAACTGACACGTCTTCAATATCATTGCAGGATTGCCGAGAAACCAAACAAATATTTTCAACAAGTAAGTCAAGGAATACCATAAAGAAAAACGTCTATGTTAATGGACCTTTCCCCTTATAACTAAAATTTTGATCTAGACAAAAATTTCATCACAGCTTGAAAGAGCATCACAAAATTAGTAATATTCCAAAGTTTCGTTGCGAAATGTTGTAAAATGTGGATAATATAGCCTTGCGAAGTTTGCCGTTTTTCAGACATTTTGTATTACGCATGGGAAATTGACAGCCCAATTGGGTGTTGGGGCATCAATTTCCCGTTTGTAAAACAAAATGACTGAAAATTGCAAATTTCGCAAGGCTATATTATCCGCATTTTATAACATTTCGCAACGAAACTTCGGAGTATTACTAATTCTGTGATGCTCTTTCGAGCTGTGATGAAATTTTTGTCTAGACTTGTCTAGAACAAAATTTTAGTTATAAGAGGAAAGGTCCATTGATCATAAAGTTTAAAAATTATCAGTATATTTCATTAAAATAGAATCAATAGTCAAGTCTCAAATATGTCGAAACAATACAGAATATATGGTTGTGTCAGCAAATTGTAAGACTATCTCATTTAATATATAATTCAAAAAGAATATATGTAACAAAAATGCGCATGTATAAGCAAAACTTTTTTATTCAATATCATCTGAACTAGCAGTAATTGCTTTTAGGAACAAAGAAGTGTCTGTCGTTCAATTCGTGCAAGGAAATACTGGAAGAAAATAAGTATGCATGATATTGTGTGTTTTTTGTAATATTACACACAACAATACTATAGTTTTAACGATGGGAAAAGTGACAATATTATATTGTTAATAGACTGTACTGTTTGTTGAACTGTTTCATACCTCAGTGACCTCGTTTTCATGTGGTTATATTCTCATGATTCGTGCACAATAGCGATAAGAATAGGTTTGTGACTGGGCACAAAATCAAGGGGAAACATAATTCGTGCATGAAACATGGGGATGTAACCTCCATGCATGTGAGCCTGCCATGCTAAAACATGCAGGCATGCAAACATGAAAACGAGGTCATTGCATATAGGGTAAAAGTGCATTAAACAGTAAAGTCTATTAATTAAGTTTATTAAACCCTTATATTGTAGAGTTCAATCATGCAGTGATTTGTTCTATCTAGAGATAAAAGTGGGAGGCATCTCTCCTTAATATGTTACTCAGGAGAAAACCGGATTAAAATGGGCTAAACTATATTCAGAAAATTGCTTTTTTTACTATTTAGTACAATCAACTGAGATGCAAGTAAAGTGAAATTATAATAGCCCATTGCATATTACAGGAATCGAGCTCCATGCAATCACAGAGAAAGAAGACACATGCATGTGTACTAACGATGGCTAGACCAATAGACAATTCCAGCTTTTAGTTTATGCGTGCAGGGAGTGATGGGAAGTAAGTATTGCTGATTATGCTGAAAAAAATAAAAATTGCGGCCGCGTAAACATGGAGTGATAGCTTATACTTGTAAATATTGAAATATTTCAGTTGTTTCGGCAGTTTGTATTGAAAATTTTCAGCATAATCAGCAATATATGATACCTTACTTCCCGTCACCTCCTGCGCGCATAAATTAAAAGCTGGAATTGTCTATTCCTGTCGAGTATTTTAGGGAGGCTAATCTCACTCTCATGGGCATATGCAAATTTTGACATCAGGTATTTGAAGTATATATTATTGCACTGCAAGTCACAGGAAAAATTACTTCTTTAGTATGACTTAATTTATATCTGCAAATTTCTTTCGCAATACATAGAAATGCCGAAAGCGGAACTTACACATTATATGCTGGTTCGACACAACCATACGATGTATTCTGTCACATGACCAGAATTCAAGAATGCGGAGATAGGAACGGTTGGACACTTGTTATGAAAGTGAATGGAACTAAGGTACGCAAGTGTATAAGCTTCAATTTAAACTAATGCCTCTGATTTTCAGACTACATACGAAAAACATTAATTTTACAATCATTATAGCTTGTTATATCAATCGTTACTGTTCTGCCTGGGTCATCCATCATTCCTACGTACACGTCAGGAAGAAGCCATAAATTACCCTGAGAAAACTTTAGAAATCGTTACACGATTGAAAGCACTTCCATACTACGTCCTGTGCCACATCCCTAAGAAATACAGAAGAATTTCTTTAAAAGCTAAATGATTTTTATTAAAATCTTTATGCAGGAGTATATACAGTTCCGCCTATTCCCGCTTTTGCTATTTATTGTGTTTATAACAGCAAAAGCACCGTAACAAAAGCTATTATATTATAAGTATATAACTATATATTCAAATTAGTGTTCTTTCTACTTCTTTTAAATTAAGAGAACATTTGGTCACAATTCGCCTTACTGGATGAACAAGGAAAGTTATGCAGTTGAAGATGGACTTGAAGGGTTAACAGAGAAAGAAAGTAAACTGGCCTCTTATTGGAACACTCCTTTCAAGAAAATATGTCTTGGTATGACCGTTGATGGTGACAGAAAATGGATGATGTTAGATTACGAAGCAAATTCGCTGTACAGTGTGATCGCAGATGGAAAACACCGAAAAACAGCCGCTGGACTTGCAGCGTGGGCTTCGCTAATCAATAAAGTATATTGGTGGCACAGGGGCTGTAAAATAGAAGGCTTCAATGTAAAGAAAGGCAGTTTGTCAGCCCGTATTGGTTTTGCTTCTAATGAACCAGCGTTGTGCGATGGCGTTGGCTCAGCTATTGCTTTCGGTATGCAATTTAAGAAAGTCAGTGCGGCGAAGAATAGCGAGATATCAGCTGGATATGCTTATACATCCGAAGAATATTTTGAAACTAGAGCATTCGGATATATCTTAGTTTCTTAGTGTATCAGCATGTGGCACAACACCAAATAGCCACGTCTGGTCAAAACTATATTATTACCTTATAACTTCTAAATATAACGCTATCAGTGATAAATAGATATAGATAGGTAAGATAGCTACATATATATACACATTGTCATATTGATATCATCAGATTGCTCTCAAGATTCCTCTTGGACGAAACAGGCTGTAGTGGCAAACCTTATTGTGACATACGAAGTATATACATATATAGCCGGTGACATACGAATTAAGTTCGAAGTGTCCCGCCATTTTCATTCTTGTTTGGAAAATACAAATGGTCTTCAGTCCGTATATAAAACGAAATTAACGTCGGAAATAAAACGGAAAGTAGGCCTACTATACCTATATCAAAGAGTTTCGCAAAAACACTTGAAAAGACAACTATGGAATTTACTATGGGAAATATGGGGCAAGTTTGCTTTCATTTAATGTTTAATGCATGTTTATGAATTTTGTTGCTTTAACTTATATATATATATATATATATATATATATATATATATATATATATATATATATATATATATATATATATATATATATATATATATATATATATTTCTTGCTAAGCCGATATTGTGACGATACAGTGAAATTCATATTTCAATCTTTGAATTTGTAATCTTTGAGAGTAATATGATACTCTTTCGGCTGCAACACATGATTAATCTGTTGCGTTTTAACATTTCTTTCTGAAAAGAATATTTTATTATTGTCTCGTAACACACGAAGACTTAGAATTTTACTATTTTTAAAAATTACAAATTCAGAAACAATTTCAATACGTAACAAATCATTGCCACCACCTCGCCCTAAATAGCAATTTATTTCAGCACCCAAAATCTGGGAGCCACGTGACCAGCCGGCACCAGCTAGGGTATTTCCGCGGCAGGGTGTGAGCGAAGGTAATATCCTGAGTACGAGGTTGATTTTATTGCTCCCTGCAGGCTACAATACAGTGCATTATAAACCAACATGCATCTATTCAATATTAATACCTCCTAAATAATTATGAACTACTTTGATATAAATAAGAAAGACAGTTGTATTAAAGGACCCTAAATTGCATAGCATATCGTTTTTTTTCATTTTAAAATTAATTTTAGTGCAAACATTAATTTGACAGTTATATATTACACATAATAAATATAACTTTCGGCGATGCTATATATACTGTGTGCTGTGAATTTAGAAATGTAATCTATAAATCCATTTTACAACAGTCATAAGTCAGTGCAGGCAGAACAGTAATTACTTTTAGTCACATAACATGCATGCAGTAACGGAAGAATATAAACAAGCTTTCGCTGGTAGGGATGCAACTACCAGAAAAATATAAGGATAATTTCGACGTTTCGAGCGAAGGTCCTTCGTCTGAAGTAACTAGCGGGAAAATATAAGCGTCACGTGACAAAAAAACCAACCAATCAGATGGATTTAGTCAAAACAAAGTATAAACAAAAAATTTAATCAATGCAGCACAGAGAATATATATTAATACAAATATACAGAAAACTACAGCAAATACTGGAAGAATGCAGTTGTTGCTGTTGTTGTTGTAAAATGCAAGAATTTCAAGTTAATTTGGGAGAAACTATGTCCCGTCAGTCTTCGATGTTATCCTTCGTCAAACATGTCCGTATTTCGTTCGTAATAGGCCTACGGCTTTGTTGGTTGTTGATATTTCTTAATTTTCAAACTTTTGGATTTGGGATTGACTTTTGCTTTGATGGCTCTAAGGAAGGTATAGGTTTTCATGAACTACGATTTTTTCAAATGACTCAATTATTTTAAAGAAAATAATTACATGAAAGTTAATAATATAAAATGCAGCATATAGCTGAGAACTTCAGATATAAAATATTTAAATGGCGCATGCAGTTATACTTTTAGCCGTATATAAGCGTGTGCATGAAAGAAGCGTCCTTTTGAATGCACTAGATAAAGTTAACCATTTAAGGGCCTCGACTGCTCATATGAGCCCATGTAGCTAACCGGAAACTCGCCCAGTGAGATCCGCATGTCAATGCTAAAGCATATAAAATTCAATTCGTGTTCATATGAGAAACGAGCGAGCTCGGCTGTAGGTCAGATCTCACCTTGCGGAAGGTGGGATCTTAGTGAAGTGGGATAAATTCAGTCTCCATATGAACACTACGTCCCACCTGACTGGGATACTTGCCTATAATATAGTATTGAACTTTTGACCTATAATATAGTACTGAACGGCATATTCAGAAAGCATAAACAAAAAATAAACAATAAAAACATTTTGAAGTCGCAAAGGTTGCATAATGTCGTCCCGCATACTGAAATCAAATATTGTGATGGATTTTCTGGCGAATTATCACGTCATTTATAGCCTATAGTCTATAGTCTGCATGAATGTAGATGGAATTTTGTAGATGCAATTTTCGAACGAAGATTTATATACAAATACAGACGGGAGCAACTGCGAAAAATTCAAATTTACCCTATCCCACGCACAAATCGAACACCTGCGGCCCTGAATTCCAGTCATTTTGAACGAATTTTTCAAAAGATAAGTACGTATATGGGTAAGTACAGTATATGGCCTAAAATTAATCTTCCGTTCCCCTTTAAAGATCATTTTTTCAGAGGTACAGCAATCAAAATTGTTCACGTCCAATCTGGAGTGGATTGTATCCTACAGTGTATGCTTCAAGATAAATCATGCAGATCTGTAAACTTCAGAAAAATGTCGTTTAACAATGGTACTGGAAATTGTCAGTTTCTTAATGGTGTTGATTCAGCAAATCCAGAGCTATTACACGAAGATGAAAACTTTGACTATTACATACTACTTCAGCCCAACAGGGTAAGTATCAGTATAGAGCTACAGTAATGCAGTGTCAACAATGATATATGCTGGAAATTGTGAATTGCTATATATAGAAGCTCTGCATTTTCTGAATCGAATCCATACGAAGATAAATACTTTCATTCACTTTTAAATACTAGAGTATAGGTGTCAATCATGTGGTGCTCAAAGATTTTAACTACTAGCCTATACTCCATAGCATATAGCGCTAATAAAAAGATAGCTGGTCTTGAAAAATAATTTGTTGCAACTTGCATTGTGAACATCCATCTCGAACGGTATAGCTACTAACTTCACGACGAAGGTCGAACAGTTTCGCTTATATTTTTCAGATACAGTTATACCTCTCTCAATCCAATAAATCTCTCATGCCAATATTTCTATAAAAACTCATAACCTAATGTGACTAAATTTCCTTTAAAGTCTTCTTGACAATGTATTCATAAAATAAAATTTCCTCCACAGCAATGATACACGGATACAGACATTTTAAGTATTGTCAACAATCGAAATGTAATCACCACAAACAAAACAAATTCCATTTTCAATTTCATTCCATATCATCCTTACGATTTTTCTTCCATATTTAGACTGGAATTGTAAGCAAAAGTACATGCAAAGAATTATTGGAAGACGATCCGTAAGTATACCCTCCGTTTCTAACTATTAATTTTAATTAATTGTTTAAAGATTGGCATCAGCATTTAATTTTTCGCAAACAAGCCCAGACATAGGCCAGATATTCCTCAATGTTGAAGCAAGCTGGAAACACTCTTTTCAATTTTTAGAGAAAATTATAATCGGACAATTGTATATATATCACAGGAACTGAACACCAGCAGCATATATGAAATGCAACTGTTCGTGCGGTACCATCTGAGTGCGATACTATAGAACACTTCAGTATTCGAACCAGAAATAAATGTTATATTATAATACCTTTCTTTTCAGCAATCTCAAGAACGGAATCTACTATCTGCAAGCCAAAGCTTCTTCACAAAAATATCCAGTTTACTGTCACATGACCGCAATTCCGGGATGTGGGAAAGGAGGTTGGACACTAGTTATGAAAACAGACGGAGATAAGGTATATTTGACTTAGAAATATCGATGACAGTCAAACTGATGATGACAGTCAAAACTGGCTAACTCTCTCTCATATTGTTCCGACCTAATTTACAACTTTGGATAATTTGCATGGCTGGTTGTTATTAAAGAGTATATATATACTATTATAATATAGCATTTGTAAATTCTGAACGCTGATTTGCTAAGAGCCGTGTTGGCATAACTCAATGTCAACACGGAAACGTCGGAAAATTTCTTTCTTTATATTTCTTTCCACACAATTTCTCGTTTTCCCAATTTCCACTCGTGTTGATATAACTGTATATCAACACGGAAAATGTTTTATATTTGTTAAGTATAAAATTACCTATGTATAGTCACAGATGATAGATAATACGAGATGAATCACTGTGTATCTATCCCTATGATTTTCGTGTCCGCGATTTTCGCGAGTCTATCACGCCAGATGACGCGTGCGACACTTACTGCCAAAATGGCGCTTACTGCCAAAATGCGTGATTGCTCAAGTTTCACGGCGTGGATTACACTTACTGCCAAAATGGCGGCCAACGCGTGCTCATAAAAATCGCGGACACAATTTTGGCTGAGTGAGTCATCTGGTATTATCTATCATCTGTGGTATAGTGCAACCACGTTCCAGGCTTGGTAATGATGATAGTTGTATAAGCCTTTCACTCGATCATACAATCAGTTCCAATTTTTATTTTCACTTCACTCTATATGGCTATATTCCTGTTAATTGGACAATACTGACGTGGAATGTGAATTATCAAAATTGTGAATGAAGTTTACAAAACAAGCGTTAGACTAAGTCATGCAGATGCAGAATGGATTTTTGTCGACATCCAATTCTTGTTAAAAACTTCAAAAACTCATTAGTAATTCATGAAGCAATTATCCAATCTTGAGTAAGAAATTAGTCACGTGCACACGTCTTTATACCAGCTAAAGAACACTTTAACAAAAGACCATTGTTATGCAAACTATGTAAAGATTTTTATATAAAGATTTTTATATAAAGATTTGACTTATTATGCAAACGTTTTTGAAGCCATTTAAAAAACTCGCAGCAGTCGTGTTTTATTAGGTCTAAAGCCACTCGCGTTGCGCGCTCGTGGCTTTAAACCTAATAAAACACTCCTGGTCGTTTTTTAAATAGTACTTAAATACCGGTACTTGTCACTATTGATCAAGTTTCAAGATTCATGGTGCATCTATAAAGCATAGTAGCTATGGTACGTGTCAAGGGTATGCATGGAAGCACCTGAAAATATATGCAAAAGGTTGACGTTGCGAGCGGAAGTCCTTTTTCGAAACGTCGAAATTTTAATTTGCTTATATTTTTTAGGTAGTTAACATCCTAAACACCGCAGCTACTGTATTTGTTATCGTCTCTATTTACACTGACACAAGATTGCATTTAAAACAGGAAAACGATAACGAAAATTTAACTTGGATATAGCTTACTATAATATATCACTAAACAAAAATACTGCTTTTCTAATTATTGTAGCAAACGTTTGGCTATGATTCCCCTTACTGGACGAACAAAGAAGGTTATGCAGTTGAAGATGGACTTGAAGGACTAACAGAGAAAGAAAGTAAACTAGCCTCTTACTGGAACACTCCTTTCAAGAAAATATGTCTTGGTATGACCGTTAATGGTGACAGAAAATGGATGGTGTTAGATAACGAAGCAAGTTCGCTGTATAGTTTAATGGAAGATGGAAAGTACAGGTTCACATCCGCTGGAAGGGATGCATGGAAGTCGCTGATCGCAGGATCATCTTTACAACCAAACTGCAATAAAGAGGGCTTCGGTGTCTTTTACAACGGGAGAATTGAAATGTGCATCGGATTCACAGCAAACAAATGACAATGATTGTTTATCGCCTGATTCTTGTATTGGGTTTGGCATTTTTTACAAAGCTTGTTATAAAACGAAATTGAGTATAACATGCGGTAATATTGCACTGTGTAAAGAAAACGATAATGGAAAAAAACGAACTGTGGCATTTGGCTACATTTTAGTTCAGTAGTTACCTTAATTTAATTGCAACCATGCATGCTTTTAAGTAATTTTGGAAGATAGAAAATCAAGGAAAGGTATTAAATTACGTCTTGCTACAATGTCTGATTCGTAAAGAGTTATAATTAATGTATAAAAATTATACAACTCCATACACCATTTTCCATTTCTGCAAACACAAAATTTAATAGTGGAATCAGCTTTAATATAATCTTTAATTATATCGTAATCTTTTCCACAAATGTAATAAACATACTATGCATTTTCGTTGAAAATATTATAACTTTTACAAAATGCAGCAAGTATGGAATATTATAATTCTCACTGATGTCTATTGAAATCATTATATATTAAAGGTATATGCATGCATGGATGTTCAACATTGTAAAATATTAAAAAAAATAATATACATGCTGAGAATTTTACACTTTAGTTATATGCCGACAAGCAATGTTTATTGAATGTTAATTTTCATTTTATTGCACGCAAATGTATATGTTAATAAAACTATATATGCTATATAATAATTATGCGCTATAATATTTTGTTTTATTTATGCATAGAGAGAAAGACAAATTATAAAGCGCAATTTAATTGCACGGCACATCAGTTTTAAAAATTTTAATTTGACAACATGTTATATGGGTCATGTTCGGTAAACAATAAATTATAACCTCCATGAATGCATGTATGTATGAAACGAGAAATATATCTATACGTTCACTCAAGCCAACCATGAGAAGAAACAAGGAATAATTATCATCTATATATATAGGTAGCCTAGTGTTAAAATGTCACAACTTCAAGTTTGGTGTCTGTCTTTGAAAATTTTCTTCCTGAAACCAGATCGTTCTATTTTTGTCCGCTTGCACTTTTGTTTGTTGATGTTTTTTAATTTCCAAACTTTTGGACATGCAATCGACTTTTGCTATGATGGCTCTAAGGAAGGTAAGTTTTGACGATCTGCGATTAATTTTACCCTTAAGGCCGGCGCTAGATATACACCTGAGAAGGCATATCAGAGTTTTGAGGGGAAAGTATACATGGGCACCTCATGCAGACAGTAAAGGTTGTTTTCTTCAATGGTGACGCGTGCACCGCATCTGGCGGATATCATCAGTGTTGGGCAACATCGTTGACGAAACAAAGAAGTATACGCTATATATACGTTTCGTTACGATATGCTTAAAATAGAAAATAGGCTTATAGGTGTAAACGGCTAATAGGTCATAGCTTTTCTCATCACTTGTTGGATTATGGATTTTGGTGCCATCTCTTAGTCAGAATTCTAGAATTGGGGAGTGTTTCTAAATTTTAAGGGTGTGTATATATAAATATGCCAATTGCCTAGCATATAGTCATACAGAAGCACGATTTCAGTTATGCCCGCCAACAGTATGTGTGTCAGTGGTTGTTCTATTCTTTACAACCAAATACAAAAAGAGCATACGCTCATACTGACATTATATTACAATAAGTAATTTTAGGAACTCTTTGGGGATATTCAAAGCTAATGCATGCATGCGGTTCCCATGTAACCTATATCCATCAAAACATAAACACACATTACGACTCATCGCGAAAATTCAGGTTTTTACCGCACTTCATGCAATTTTGAAAAAACGTGAGTTTTGAAAAATTCTTGATACAGATATAGCACAAGTTATTTTATTTGAAACTTGGTAGTTGCAATAATTCGCGTTTTTGTGAATTCTACATCAGAAATTTTGGCGAAACAAGAAGAAGTTCGGTAAAATCAGGCATAAATGAAGGGAAGCAAATTCTGCATGCATGCATGTCTGTTGTAAGTGCATGGCAACACTCTATTTTATGAATCTATTTAACCAAGATAAATAACGAATTAGCCGTTTTCGCTATAGTTAACCTTTTTTATATTTTTACCGGACTCTGGCAACACGGCCTTGCAGTTAAGACCCTGAGTCTGGGTGGGCGGCGCCCGGCGAAAAGAGAAAAGAAAACACGATGTATAGCATGTACATTAGGGACCAGTCATTATTTATGGTGGGGGGTGGCACCGAAGAGAAATGTTTTTCGTGTCGAAAATTTTGCTGATCCAACCATTAGAAAGTCAAAAATTTGATTACCCAACCTCAAATATCAATTAGAAAATAAATACCCACCCCTGGCCAAAACCTTTACAAAAGGATACCATTCAGTTGTCGCACATGTCCTTTACCACTTCTGTGACACGAGTTTGATAACGGCTTGTGCAATTTTCTGCAGTCTAAAGTTTCATGTTGTCTGCACATGTACTTTCTTTGGAGACACCATTTGTCTCCCAACAAATCGGAAAATGATCAAGATAGACAAGAGAGTGACTCTGATTGATTCACAATTGTATTTACATATGACTGTTGACATTGCTTTTCAGTCTCCAATATTTAAGTGAGTCGTGCTTTGGAAATGACAATAATTTTTTATTACCCAACCTTTGAGTTGTTTTGTTTATCATTTACCCAACCTTTTACTTACTCAAAAAATTTTTACCCAACCCTTTTCTCTTCGGTGCCACCCCCCGCCTTAAATAATGACCGGTCCCTTACAAAGTTGAAGAATAGATGGTTATAACTTTATTTACTAGTTCATTTCTCACCTAGCTTTAGAAAACACACGACCTGGGAAATCCAATGTCCAACCAAAATAATTTAAATACAATCTTTAACCCTTTCAGGTCGTCGTTTGGACAGTGAAGTGATCAAATTTGTTCACGCCCAGTCTGGAGTGGATTGTATCCTTCAATGTATGCTTCAAGATAAATCATGCAGGTCTGTAAACTTCAGAAAAACCTGCGCAGATAACAATGGTACTGAAAATTGTCAGTTACTTCACGACGTTGCTTCAGAATATCCAAAACTTTTACACGAAGATGAACTCTTTGATCATCTCATATTACTTCAACCCAACAGAGTGAGTATGAATGGAACTTTATCTAATGTTTGTTTTTCACTTGAATCGAATGTTATCAAACACATTAAGTAAGCAAGTGGGGTTCTGCCAAATTGAACATCCTTATACTTGAATACAGCTCAACCTGAAAGAGTCGATCGACTCTGAGCCTTCGAAGGCTTTCTATAAGGGTGCCTTCTTGGCAGCCACCTTACAACTCATGTTTGATCACTGAGGACAGCAACGGAAGACAGGGGCTAATCCTAACCCGCCCATTCTCTGTGAGTATACCTCGAGAAAACAACGCACGCACGACTTTCGGCAGACTCTTTCGCATAATTGACATGAGACCGCAACAAAAATCGAACCAACGATCTCCGGAGGTGAAAGGTGCTTTCCCTGACGATTGTGCCACTAAAGTCCCTGTTGTCAACGTGTGTCCTGAATGCACAATATTTCGAAAAGAGGAAAGGCAAACACAATTTCGCACGAATTGGTCTTTTCAAGCAATCTAAAAAGCATCGCTATATAAAGAAGCGCCTCCGCAAAAACTCATGACACATATATCGCCACTACAGGCGAATAACGTCTTCAATTTAATTCCTTACGCATTTTTTCCCTTCTATATATGTAGATTGGAATTGTAAGCAAAAATAGTTGCCAAGAATTGTTAAGGGAAGACCCGTAAGTATCCTAGATTTTTGCTTTTTCTAAACGTTTTTCACGTCCTGGGCCTCAGGCGACGATGTAAGGTTCAACTATAACGTTTCCTGCTTGATGATTTGATGATTCCACTATATCTTGGAATCTTGATATCTTAATGATTCCACGATATCTTGGAATCTGTGGCAAGTGGTAAAGAAGTTGATTATATTGCACCCTGGTTGGACCCAAGTTGGAATACGCGAGTAATGCCTAGTCCCCTAATACCATCAAGCATCGCTCGATAATTGACAATGTTCAGCGCCGAGCGACTGAGATTAGTCCAACATACTCATGATGCAAGCTTTGCTTTTTTTCACAACCAAAACATCGTATTAAAGAGTAAACTGGGATTGGACTACTTTTAGACTGGGAAAATGGGATTTGGGATTGGAATGATCAGACAAAAAATGGGAATGGGAAAACCATATACCATTACAAAGCCAGAGTTAGTAAATAGCTTTAAGAAAAGCTATGGAGCAAGAGTCGGGGGGGGGGATCGCATTCTGCCTTTCTCATTCTGCATTTTTCCGCAATTGCGATTTACTGTTTTTCTTATACATGGCGTGGGCTTGGTTCGTCATGTAAGTGTATGTATATTGCATGCTACTGAGTCTAATTAATTGTATAGGAAGTGAAAGGTATTTATAGACTTCGAACATTTTGATTGACAATGCTGGAGATAAAATAAATGCGTTTAATTGTGTTTCCAAGTCAACACATGCATGGATGACAATGACGAATACTTGCTCTACTTCAGCTCTAGGGTCTTCTTTCAATTTGACATTTTGGACTGGGATTATAATAAAAACTGCATGGTTGGGAAATGATATATAGAGAAAAAAGGGACGAAAAATGGAATAAAAACCCGTTTACACTACGCTCAATTTTGGTACCCGTACCATTAAAAGCCAAGCATGGATAAATTTGGTACGAGTACCAATTTTATCCCTGCGGTACCAAAAATTGAGCGTAGTGTAAACGGAGAATATTCCGCTTCAGGACCCTCTATTATCAACATGCAAACGTGCCAAGAACTTATAATCTGATAGCTTAATATCGAAGCAATGGAACCATTGAGTGAAATCTGCTCTACCAATAACCCCAAATAAATTTTACCACATTAGCAATATTCTTTTCAGCAATCTTAAGGACGGAATCTACTATCTACAAGCCAAGGCTTCATCGCAAAAATATCCAGTTTACTGTCAAATGACTGGGATACCTGGATGTGGAGGAGGAGGCTGGACACTAGTCATGAAAACAGATGGATATGAGGTGTGTCATGAGACTTTTCAGTTTTCATTCTTAAATGTTTAAGAAAAAACTTTACTACTGTATAAACGAAATAGGCAAACACATTGTTCAATGTATAGAGATGCCATACAACTATTTATTAAATCCCGAAATAAATTATCTACTTATTTTATTATCAGCAAACATTTGGCTATAGCTCGACTTTGTGGACGAACAAAGAGAGTTATGCAGTTGAAGATGGACTTGAAGGACTACCAGAGAAAGAAAGTAAACTGGCCTCTTATTGGAACACTCCTTTCAAGAAAGTATGTCTTGGTATGACCGTTAATGGCGACAGAAAATGGATGATGTTAGATTACGAAGCAAGTTCGCTGCACAGTGTGATCGCAGACGGAAAATACCGAAGCACAAGCGCAGGACGACCTGCATGAAAGTCTCTGATCGCGAGCTCGTCTTTACAACGAAGCTGCAATGAGGAAGGTTTCGGCATTATTGATGAGAATAGCGGTCGGTGGATTAAAATGCGTCTTGGGTATATGGCCAACAACCAAAATTATTGTAAACATTCTGATTCGTGTATTGGATTTGGTATTACTTACAATTCTTGTGATCATATAACATCTCACATTACATGTGGTAATATTGCGCAGTGTGGTGATAATGATAATGGCAAAAAACTGACTGCGGCATTTGGATATATTTTAGTTCAGTAGTTACACTAGAGTATTAACATACAGAGGCTTATCTCAATGTCGGCACCTTTGATGTCGGTGTAAGGGCTTTTTTGGAAAAAATCCGCCATGTTCTTAGCCAGTCCAGTAAAGAGAGGCCGCCTTTTTACGTAAACTGTGCATGTGCAGGTACTGGCTAAGAACATGGCGGCAAAAAAACACCTTACGGTTTTTTCGCTTAGATAAGCTCTGTATATTACTCTGTGGTAGTTATATGCTTTGAAACTTATTATTAGATGGTCATGCCTGATTGGTGTTTAGTGTAACATTCTATATACTGTATGAAAACATACCTTGATCAAGAGCCAGATAGTTCAGTGAACCCTTTTCAAACTCTACACTTCCCTTCCCATATCGTAAAATCGTCTAGCGGAGAGTAAAATGACAAAGAAGGGCGCATTATAGGACCCAATATGCATATCTTGGTTTAATATACATAACGTTATATAAGTTAATAAAGTTATCACCAAGTGGATCTTGAAAACACTCAGGCGGAAAATTTACACGTAATTTCACATTTTTATGTGAAATAATCATTTCATTGGTGAAATTTAGAATTCTCACATATAAAATTTTCGTTTCACATATTTTTTTCTGAAATTAAAGGATCATATGTGAACATTAATTTCGCATGTCAAATTACTATTTCACATGTGCATGCAATTTCAAAACTTCACATGTGAAATCATATGTGAATTTTTCGTACGGGAGAACACGTTTCTTCCAATGTGTTTCGATTTAAATATTTTCCCAAAATAGTGAAAACTTACTTGAGAGCAAAAATATAAACAAATGCTCAAAATGGCCGGAAAGGAAGTTTCCCAAATTCGTGGTTTAAAAATTATTATAATTAATGTCAACATGTTACAGTATTACTATACACCAGGCAAAAAATTAGAATTAAAAAACTGTTTGATATGTTTGAAAAAAATATTAAACATGAAAACGCTATATACTTGTCATTATTCTGTTTAATGAAGTTTACTTGGACCATCTTATATAATTTCTGCCAGACTATCTGCAATTTGATGTGTTAAAATAGTTTGTTTTGTTGAAAATATTCTATTTTTATATATATATATATATATATATATATATATATATATATATATATATATATATATATATATATATATATATATATATATATATATATATATATATATATATATATATATATATATTACACATAATAAATCTAACTTTCGGCTTTCGGTGATGCTATATATATACTGTATGCTGTGAATTAAAAAATGTAATCTAGAAATCCATTTTACAACAGTCGTACGTCTGTGCAGGCAGAACAGTAATTACTTTTAATCACATAACATGCATTCAGTAACGGAAGAATATAAACAAGCTTTGTTGGTAGGGATGCAACTACCAGAAAAATATAAGGATCATTTCGACGTTTTGAGCGAAGGTCCTTAATTCGTCTGGAGTAACGAACGTCACGTGACAAAAGCGTCACGTGACAAAAAATAAACCAATCAGATGGATTTAGTCAAAACAAAGTATAAACAAAAAATAGATAATAAAAACATTTTGAAGTCGCCAAAATTGCATGTCGTTGTCCCGTATACTGAAAGCAAATATTGTGATGGATTTTCTGGAGAATTATCATGTCATTTATAGCCTATAGTCTATAGTCTGAATGTAGATGGGATTTTGTATAGATGCAATTTTCGAACGAAGATTTATATACAAATATAGACGGGAGTAACTGCGAAAAATGCAAATTTAGCCTATCCCACGCAGGAATCGAACACCTGCGGCCCTGCAATTCCAGTCATTTTGAACCAATTTTTCAAAAGATAAGTATGGGCAATCCATATACTGACATATAACAAGTACAGTTTATGGCCTAAAATTAATCTTTCGTTTCCCTTTAAAGGTCATTTTTTCAGAAGTAAAGCAATCAAAATTGTTTACGTCCAATCTGGAGTGGATTGTATCCTACAGTGTATGCTTCAAGATAAATCATGCAGATCTGTAAACTTCAGAAAAATTTCGTTTAACAATGGTACTGGAAATTGACAGTTACTTAAGGTGGCTCGATACAGTTTTCAAAAATTCAGGTGTTTAACACTTTGACATGTTCAAACTGCGCATTTTTAGGATTTATTGAGCAGATATTGGGTTTTTTATATATTTTGATAACTCTACTTTCAAATGATATTACTTTTAGGAACAGATAGTTCGTTGCTATGACGACATACGTGTACGAAATTCACTCCAAAATGGTCTGTCGTTTCGTATAGTTGGAAAAAAAGCATGGTGATCCCCAATTTTTTTTCATGCATTATTTTACTTGGACGAAAAGCTAACAATTAGCAAAATATAAAAAAATTCTGTAATGCCATTTTTTTGGAAAATGCGAAAATGTCATATTCTTCGGTAAAATTTTTTTGGCATTACAGAATTTTT